GGTACCTGGAATGTCCACTGGGTCACAGTGAGTGGTGTTGCCGAGGGACTCGTGTTTGTCCTATAAGGCGGTACGCTCCAGTGAAGGACTATACACAAACACCAGCTCCAACACACAGACCCCCCGACTGGGCCGGAAACGGACCCGACCTGTGGCACTTCAGTTTACACATGTGTATATGTTACGAACCAGACAAGTGTGTAGGAAAGGAGAGGAGCGGCCATTGGAACGTATTCACCATAACTGGAAGGAGTCATGGTCAACTAAGTAGATATTTGCGCCTACGTCTGCGAACAGAGTGTTTGTTTTTAACCATGACCCTTCATTAAAGGGTCACGGTTGCCTTATGTTAGGTGGCACAAGTCTTGTCCCAAATTCGCTCAATATCCTACTTCCAGTAACAGAGGTAATCATGGCCTCAACTGTCAAAATGCTTGCATGTGTTTCAGGAAGAAGTAGGACTCGGTGTTGCTCTAATGTGGAATTTGAACAATAATATTCTCTTCCAACCGCAAGAAGACAAATGCTAACTCTTTAGAATTACCTGCTTATTTTCTCATTAGTAATAGTTTGGAGAGCCTTGAGTGTCCATAAAGTGAAGAACACATTTCTTTGCATTCTCTCTTCATATAGGCTACAGAATCATTATTGTAACTTTAGAGGAACTGATGTTAAAAATACTGAGAGTCTGGGAACTGATTTAGAGCCGACCACTATTCGGAGCCTGCTTTTGGGTGACATCCTTAACTCCACGTTATCAGACCTGAATATTGGCTGTAATACATTCTTGGAACAAAAACAATAATTAAAATGTCCAATTTATTAGCCACAATCACATTATCCATTCTCAATAAAATGTCATTATATCTAAAAGGAAAAATGTTCTGGTTTTAAGCAGCAGTGGCCGCAACTACTGAAATACCGCTCTACAAATGCACTGCTTTTCTGTTTCTCTGTGCATGCACACAACGGAGCATTCTAGACAGGATTACTACATGTATGTAAATGTGCATGTCTGTGTATTTTGTCGTTTTCCAGTGTGGTGAAGGTTCTGCTCGAAGCCGGTGCCGACCCAAATGCCGGAGATGACTTCAGCAACGTCTATGACACCTCACGGGAGAAAGGCATCCACTCACTGGAAGGTAAAAAAAAACAAAACACACACACTTTCTGACTATGTGTGTGTGTTCTTTATGCATGTGCTTGTGTGTGTGGTTGCTGTGTTAAACGTATGACTTGTAATCATAGGACCAGATATAATTTGCATAAAGATTTGCATATATGTACGTTTCATTTTGTGCATATTTTTTTATTTTATATGTTCTGTGGCAAGAAGTGTGTGTTTTATTTGTTTTTCTCCTGAGCTGCGCACACAGTGACACAAACACACTGACAGCAAGGCACAGGCGCACACACATACACGCACACACACACACACACACACACACCAGTTTGCGTTGGGTTTCTGCAGACATATTTATATGGGATATGTATATTGCAGACATTTATATGGCTGTCAGGTTTGGGTCCACGTGGGGCTGGCGTAGCGTGGGGAAGTGTTTCCCAGACGCACGCTGATGGATGGGCTAGGGGCCCCTGTGCGACGCTTTATTGGGTTAGCTATGATTATCCCGCCCTGTCTCTCTCTCACACACACATACACACACTGCAGAGAGAGACTGTCAGAAAGAGAGAAAAAGTGTGGGATAGATGAATGGAGGGAGGGAAAGACTGATTAAGCAGGGAAGAAGCAAAAGAGGGAAGCAGCAGGAGAAAGCAAGGGGAAGGAAAGAAGGTAGGGAGCAGCGGTGGATAGAGCGAGAGAGAGGTTACAGATGGAGAAGGAAGATGATTTGGATGTTTGGAGGGGTGATAGAGGGAGGGAGCGATTGAAGGAAGTGGGTGGGTTGATGAGGGAGGGAGAGGAAGTCAGGAAATGGATGAGACAAAGTTATTGGGATAGAGGAGGGTGCAAGTGATGAAAGGAAGTGATGGATACCAAGGAGGCGGAAAAATAAAAACGGATGATGAAGGAGTGGTACGAGATGAGCGCTCTTATGACGAAGACAAGTAAAGAGAGAATGATAGACTATCTCTATTATTAGTAAGGAGCACAGCAAAGGAGCCCCTAAAACACAACTCACATTATTCCTATCATGTCGGACAGTTGAGCTTAAATCTGTGAAAATGAACAACTCTTCAAAATCTGGAAACAGGAAAGACAATTTTGTAGTCTGCTCCGTTTTCATTGTCACACTTCCCAGAGCTTTACCACTGACTGAAAAGAGTTTAAATAAAGTGATTCTGGGTTCAGAGGCTTGTTCTTTTACATTTGAAGGTTTTTGTTAATTCATCACTATGATGTTCTTCAGCCTCAGGAAGCATGTTGTTTACTTTTTAGACAGGAGTCATACCTGTAGTCTTTTCTTTCCATCTATGAGGGCTAATATATTTTCTTCATATTGAATCCAAACTTATTAAAAGAACCTGCTTTTTGTTCATTATGTGTCAGACATCAAGAAATTTGAACTTGTATGTAAAAAAAACAGCAACACCTTTTTCCCCCAGTGGGTGTCCAGAAGCTGTCAGACTTTTTCTAATGTCTCTCTTCGCCTGTTTCTTCCCGTCCTGCCCTGCAGTCCTGGTTTCTAGAGAGGACAAATTCAGCAGCAGGCTCAGCAGCAGGGCTGATTTCCGTGGTTGCACAGCGCTTCACTACGCCACACTGGCTGATGACCCACACACCGTTCACATGCTGCTGGAGGCTGGTACGTTACACCCCATCCCATCATACCCCACTTTAGAGTCAACGAGGGACCTCTGAGGGTGTAGGTATCAGCACATAGACTTAAAGGAATTAAATGTGTAGCTGTTCCTGTGCACATTTTGCAGCCCTGCAGGTTTACATCTTGGTGGTTTGAGCTGATTGGACCAAAATTTGCCTCTTTTTTTTTTCCAAACTGAATAATGAAAATATTTAGCCTAAGTATGAAAGTGGGATTCTTAGCTTTCTATTGCTCACATTCATGTTCCTCATTGAGGGACTCCGTCCTAACCAGCTATAATCGAGACAAAGGGAGAATGAGGACGGAGGAGTTTTTCGCCTCCTGCTTAGATGAACCAAATCCATCACTTATGAAGGAAAACTGCTGTCAGTCTCAACTAAACCAGTCTGGCAGTCATATTTTCTGCTGGAAGGGAGTCTCAGTGGTCTAACAGAATGCTTTTATGTTGTTAGGCTTGGTCAGTTTATGTTTAATAGACAGTTACTTTTCTCATTTTTGCCAAAGAGGCAATGTGTGAAGGCTCAAATGTTTGTTGCTTGACGCATCAGTGATCATGGTAGAAAGTTATGAAATAGGTCAAGGAGAACATGCTTTTGATGCCATTTATAGTCCTTCTTATTTTCACTCATACGTTTTACCTGTGAGGTATAGAAATAAAGTTAGAGCCTGTTCCCTCCTGAACCAGTTTTCTGGCATTTTGACTTGGCATCACACTTACAACCTCTGATGAGTCTTCATTTATTTATTTATTGCACTTAGATATTTAAAATGTAGTTATTGTTCTTCCTTTATGGGATAACATTCTTTATATTGTGAAAATCAAGTGGAAAAAGCAACCTGGTCAATTTAGTGCAGGTGCAGGTAACACTGGAGCGCCTGATCATTTTGAAGGAGGACAACTGCACACAGACTTTCTCTTTCCTCTTTTATTTCATTGACATCTTCTAAAAACTTTCCAAAATATTGGGTTTGAGTTTTTAGAAGATGTCAGCGCAACAAAGACGAGAAGAGAAAAGTCCGCGTGCGGTCCTCCTTCAAATAATTAATTTGTGGAAGGAAATTAATTTAACAATGCCACTTGTTCATTTTAAGAAACAAATGATCAATTCCTGCACCAAAATGACACAGCTTTTTAACCCTCACTGATGATGTCCAGAAGTAATTGGCTCTCATTCTGCCTTTGGAGCTTTAGGCTGTATCATCTCCATCGACTTTAAAAAGCTTCCCATGTATCATCATCTTAAAGCTCCCACCCCCGAGTCATATAAACAGTATTACAGAGCTCAGTGGAAACTGATCATTTGTTCATAGCCCCTCTCCATTCACCCCCATTACACTCGCACCTGTCGTTGACTCAGCTCCACCAGCTCTCACACACACACATTCACAGACCCTGGGGGCAGAGTACCCCCCTCCGTTTCCAGGCGAGCAGCTCTTAAACAGGCTAGGCCTAGTTAAACTGTGACCTCCCCACTGAACACACCCTCAGGGCACCTCCACAATCACAGGATGTGTGCGCCTCTTGATGTGTGTCAGAGCATGTTTGTATTTGTGCATCCATTTCATTCATTACATAAAATATTCATGTATTCATGTACGCTCTGTGTGCGCCTTTTTGAATCTTAACTTGGGTGACATTTGTAGTTGCTGCTTTGTACGACTAATGGGTTTTTAATCTAAAAGTACTCAGTTTTTTGGATCAACCATCACTACACACACACACAAGCTAGTATTAATGTCGTGTTTATGGTTATGATGGATGATGCATCCCAAGCCGTGTCTGCCCGTCTCTCCCGTCTCACCCCCGCGTCTGTAAGAACTCTGTATGCTTAAACAAATCACTTCGTCTAACTTGATCAAATGTTCTGCAGATGCATTTTTGAATTAAAAAGGTAAGAAATTTCACAAAGCAGGGACATTTGTTTTAAGACAATCAGATTAAGACGGGGTTGGTAGTTGCTCGGCCTTTAGTAGGTTGGCGCCACCATCACAGCCAATAACAGTCATGACGTCACACTCTCAACCACAAACACTTTGGTGTCCGTGTGCATGTGTGATTTTGTGTGAATAGGTGCATAATTAAAGACTTTTATACAGATTTTTAATGCGTGTTTGATTATTCCCGACAAAGCTTGTGTTGTTTCTGCTGTCTTTGTCTTGAATCCATTTCCTCTTTCTAGCCTCCAATCCATCTTTGTTTACATCATAACAAAAAAATCTTATAAAGTGCCACAGCTTCAGGACATCTATGTGGACTTGGGTGTGTGTGTGTCCTCGTTCCTTCATGTATGTGCACCTTGAGTGGGTTTAGGACCTGTGTGTGTGTATGTGCGTGTGTGTCCTACACCTTGTTATTTCCCCAGTGTTTGTATGCGTCCATGTTACTCTGGTAGCTGCAGCTTTGCTCTTTTGGCCTTAGCTGGCCCTCGAGTCGCATCTCCATCCATCACCATCTCCAGACCCACCCTCAGGGTTCTCCTCGCCCCTCAGTCCCTCGCCCTACCTGCGGAGGCTCTCTAGTTTCTCCCCGGGCTCCACATCGGGCCCGTGACCAGGGGCACTCGGTAATGGACGACTCTGTAGGTGGTAGGAGGCCAGAAGAGACACACATGCTCACAGATGCACACAATACTGATCCACATACGCACAAAGAGCAGCAGGGGCTCCCTCCCACCAGCTGCAGTGAAAGAGAGGGAGGAGGAAATAGGACAGAGGAGGGGACTGCTAATAGGCATAACTAAAGCACTCCTAATGAAGGGATCCTGTGTATGCAAGTGTGTGTGTGTATGTGTGTGTGAATGTTCTTCTGGGGTGTGTGAGTGTCGTTAGTGTTGATCCTGTTATAAAGTGCTATGGCCCAGAGGGTTGGCCTGATATTAAAGCCCTAAATGATGCTATTTATTATGTCCAGTGTGTGTGTAGGTACTTTATTGCTTTTCTCCTTCATGTTTTTGGTGGTGGGGGTGGGGGTTGGTGGTGTATTGTTGTCAGGATCGATAGCTTGTGAGCAGGTCACAAAATTTAGGAGTTTATCGATAATCATCCCAGTGATTATTAGTTTCCGCGGTCGGAGCTCGGAGCGGTAGGAACAACCAGCACCTGTATTGATTAGATGCAGTTTTTTTCCCTGAGTGCAGCTTAACCAGAAAAACTACAAATACTGTAGGTATTCGGGTTCTTAGTGCACAGTTCACCACACACGTCCTAATGGCACTAATGTACTGTAATGTACCACAGTTTTAGCAAAATAAAAACACGGCCCTGACCCAGTTTAAATTGGTTTAAACACATCCTCGAGGAGCGTTGTCACTTGTAACTTGTCAGTGATTTATTTTAATCATCTTAGGTTCTTTTAACAGAGGTTTCCATGTATGTCCTGCTGCCCAACCATCACAATGAAACATTTAATGTCACCTTAATGAGTTTGCACTATTTTTCCTACATTTCCTTGTGTCTTCCGTTACATTAAGGCATCAGACCAGGTCACCAAACAGTGGCGTTCATCGCTGGGAAGAGGCAAACAGTAGTATAAGGACGAGGAATATAAGATGTTTTTTTTTATTTAAGGAAATAATTCAAACATCTCGAATATTAAATGGCTCAACTTTCCCTAAATAAATTAGTCTGACAAATCTTTGCTTGTAAAATCAAGAAACTGATGAAAGAATTAGTAATGAAGAGAACAAGTGTGATGACACAATCATTGCCAGCTTTCACCCTGACAAAGCTTTTAAACTGAAAAGTGTTGGTGTCAGCAATGAAATATTTAAGGCTTTTTTTGTTATACTCTGGAATCAGAGGTTCTTGGACCTTCCCTTCTTTGTGTTTGCTAAGGTGCAGAGAGTGTGACGACATGGGAATCTTTTGATACTTGGTACAATGAACACATTTACCAGTACTGAGGATGTATAACCAAGCCTTAGCCTGGAAGAAGACATGCTGGCTGTTGACCTAGGCTGCACATTTGTGTGTGCATCAGTAGCAGAGCGGGAGGGGCAGAGGGTGCAACCGGCCCAATCTGCCTGACTGAACTCTCATTTTTGTTGTTTAGTTGAATGTTTTGGATAAAGTGTGTTTGTGGCTAAATAAAAAGTCACCACCAGTACTCCCTCATCCCTTCAAGCAATGATAAGGTCCCAGTGAAAGTCCTCACCCCCCTCTACAATGATCCCTCAGCTCTGCCCCTGGCGTGGATAATCCCTCATATAACCAGCATGTTAATTTTGTCTTTGGTTTAGCTGACGTGATAGAAACATTCACTTGTTCCTGGGTGGAGAGTGGCTGCACCGGTCAGGGCAGAAGGCACCGCTAACTGCCCACCGCTGCCCAGCCCTGGCACACTCCGCACATGCTGTGACATTATTTTTCTTCTTCATTTATTAACTCTTTAGTCTGTTTAACAAAATGTTTCCCCTGCTGTGTAGTAGTGTGTGTGTGTGTGTGCATCAGTGGCCCCTGACCTGCAGCAACCTGCAGCATTTACAGATCGTATAATAGTCCAGGGTGCTGGTGTGCGGGTGTAGAGGTCAAAGTGTGCGTTATTGGCACGAGTTGGAGATATGAAACCCCCTGCAGCGTCATTGCTCGGCCCTCCTGCTTCACTGCAGTGACCCCTGAAACCATGCGACCTCTCACCCCGAGCCTCACCCTCCATTGACGTTTTGACCCTCCTGCTGAGGTGAATTCTCAAAACAAAAAGAAATTTTCCTAAAAACAGACTGCTGTCTTCTGTTGTTAGCTGCAGTCATTTTGTGTTGCTGCAAGTGATTGACTTTATTTATTTGTGTGTTTGTGTTGACTTGCATACAGGTGCCAACCCCCTGCAGACCAATGGTTTGGGGCACACAGCACGGGCCTACGCTAAGGAGGGAGAAGTGAACACTGTACTGCAGGAGTGGGAGGGCAAGGTATGACACATTCATACAGACACACACACTAATTCTGTTGTTGCTTCCATATAGTGTGCAAGCAATTAAAACAACATTAGTTTCCATGCACACAAATGTTTGGATTCTGTAATTGTTTCCTGTGGCTTGGCCTGAGTGACTTGGCACAATTCACTCAGCAGAGGTCTGTATCATTTACTTGCTGTCGTGCACACAGACACACACTCCTCAGGAGGTCTGTGTCAGTCTGGTGACTGAGTGACAGGTGCTATAGAGTAGTAGAGATGTAAAGGCTGGTGGAGGTTAACTGGGGTTAAAAACCTGCAGAAGAAGAACGCTGGGTTATCAGTGTTATATAAAGCACTTATCATCATCATCACAGACTAGATGGAATCTGGAGTTTGGTGACAGTATTGTGATACGCTGCAGCTTTAAAGTTAGTTTCTCTATTCTTAAAGGTTCTTTTATTCACACCGTGCATTTAGTGCCACTGTGTAACCACAAATTGATACATTCTGCAAAACCGGTACCTGAAAAATTATCAGGATAAAAATGAGTTGAAATTATTTATTAATTTATTGAAGACGTTTCAGTCGGGGTGCCTTTCTCAGCAAATAATAAGTGTCTTCAATCACATTACTGATTTCTTATGTGTAAATATTAATTGAAAGTATGATCTACAGAGTATTTTCACATTACTGACATTGAAATATTTGGTCTAAAATGTATTAATAAAATACTGTGTTTACTAGCGATGTAAAAGTATTTGTAATTTAGTGATATCACTACAGAATGATCTCCCGATACTGTCGTAGGACTGTGACAGTATCTACCAGGCTATTAGGCTACATATGGTTATTTCTCTAGTATAACTGCATTCAGGTTGCAGAATTGGAAACTGACCAGATGATTCATTGTGAACTTTTACATCTGTTGTGTGGCAGCATTTCAGTTTTCACTTTTCGAGAAATGACATGGGCAGAAAGGAAACTGATTAACACATAATTTGTAAATACTCCCGGACGAAGGCAATATCCGCCCTGTTTAGGACTGAGACCTTCCTGGGAGAAACAGTTGGAGGATGACCGCGTGCTACATTTTAACAGAGATGAGCAAACAATCCAGACATACATATGCAATTCATGCCACTTAGTAACCACCCTTAAGTCTTTTCTCTTGAAAAGATAGACCACGATCTTTGAAAAATACTTCCGGCAGAGCACAAATCTCACATTTATGTGGCTTGTATTGCTTATTCTAATGGTCTCCCAGATAGGTGACATTTTTCTGCTTAAAATGTGATTTAACTTGGGTGAGTTAGGGTTATGGCGGCCCTGAAGTTTCATGGGTTCTTAACTGAACAATCCTCCAGAAAGAGCTGACGGAGAGGACTCCTCGCCCCTCAGCTCACAGGTGTGTAGCAGTAGAAGTGCAGTTTTCTTAAAGAAAACTTAAATAAAGTTATCTGTAGTTATCTACCAACTTGACAGCAGGCAGGCGCTAAGCAAGACAGAGAGAGAGAATAAAACAGCCCGTCTCCACTGCAGGGTGAAAACCTGGAGTCTGAGGAGACAAAGAGGAGAGGATGAATGAGTCGTGGGGTGACTGTGAGAAAGAAAGACTGAGGAGGTGAGAGAAAAGCCATGGGCGAAGACAGAGAGAAGAAGAGCAGTGGAAAGACATCAAATCAGCAGAAGAAAGGAAATGGGCGTCGAAGAAACAGGCAAATGCAGATGGAGAGGTGGAGTGTGTTGTAGAGGAGGAGGACAGGAAACAGAAGGCTGCTGGGAAATGGAAAGAAAGTAAGGTGGTAGGGAATAGAGAGAGAGTTACAGGAGGAAAGATCCATTTTAAGGCTCATTCTACAGCTTTTAAAAGATTCTGCATAATCCAACAAAAAGATGTTTTGTATTTATCACCTGGTTTTGTTTTCAAAATGTCATTTTTGATGTCCAACAAAAATGATGCATCAACACTCAGTCCTGTCTGCACTGGAGTAGTGCTTACAGGTGTTCAGTCATAACCTCTAGATTGTAGCTTTGCACCACTGACTGCTGGGTTGAACACATAAATCAAACCTAACCTGTCTTGGGATTGCCTCAGAGCATGTTTTGCCACTAGTGAGGAGGAGTTGCTAATAAAAGTGAGCATGTGATGATAACATGATAGAGGAATAAGGAGAGGCACTCCTTCTCTCCTTTTAGATGACCTCCTGCTTTGTCCCTTCTATCCCTCCGCCTTCCCCTAAATGTCTCCCTTCTCTTCCTGATCCACTCACTGTCTCATCTGTTCTTGGTACCTAGTTCCAGGAGGCACAGGCCCGACGGGAGGCGGAGGAGAGGAGGAGGTTCCCTCTGGAGAGGAGGCTGAAGGAACACATCATTGGCCAGGAGGGGGCCATCAACATTGTGGCCTCAGGTAAACACACATAACGCACTATAGATGCAGCTATACCACACAGCACAAATATAACAAGTGCACATAAATACAGCCATTAAAACAGTAGTCTTGTCTTCCTGCTCTTTGTTTCCGGACAGCATCTTTGTCATGATCTCTCTCTCTCTTTCTCCTCAGTGTGTTTCTGTCTCGCGCTGCCCTCCTCTGCCTCTGTCCTGCTCTCCTCCCTGCCCTCCAGCGGTAGGCGGGCTGAGACAGACTGGTGGAGGCTGTAATTGGTTAATTGTGATGAATGAGCTGTCTGTCAGGCATACACAGGTGCTGTGTGCATGTGCGTGTGTTTGTGTGTGACAGCTGAAGAGGCCAGGCTTGGAGCCGCCAGTTAACACGATTACAGAGAGAGGAGATATTCTACAGACACTCCCCTCCTCCCGTTCTCTCTCCCTCTGTGTTTTTCCCCATTTGGTTTTCTCTCCTGTGTTTCTCCTTCCATCTTTATCTCTTTACCCCCTTCGATCTCCATCACACCCACTCTGTTCTTCACCCTTCTGTCCTTTCCTACTTGCACTTTGTGGCCTCAGTGTACCCCACAAATCATAGTTCCTCCACGCTGTGCCATCTACTGTATTTCTCTTTCTTTAAACACACAGAGTCAGGGATGGACAGGGGAAAGGCAAAGTGGTGGAGGCAGGAAGAAAAGAACAAATGAGACAAGGGGAAAGGAAATTGAGGCAACAGAAGACAAAAAAAAAAGAAGAGACCGCAACTGTGATGGGAGAAGAAAGAGAGGTAGCAGAGAACCGGGAAGCTGGGAGCATTGACGGAAAGACAAAGAGAAGCAGTGTAATGCAGGGAGGATGAGTTAGAGCACAATAACACAGCAGACAGTAAAGAGCTGATATTACACCAGACATCCACGGAGGCCATGTATTGATCCGCAGATGAGAGAGCAATAGTGTGTGTGTGTGTGTGTTTTCAGATGGAGGTTTCAGCAGTGAAGAAAGAAGCTGTGTGTTATTTTTATGGTCTTGGACATTTTTCTGTTTAGATTTGTGAAAATAATCAACTCCCTCCCAAAGCTAGAAGCAGACATTTTAATCTGCGATGTGTTAGTGAGAGCAAATACTGCAGAGTTTATAACCGACAGGAGAACAACTTGGGCCTCTGTACGTCAAAGAACTAGAGAGAACAGTACATTTGGAAATAAAAACTACAGAGCTGTTGTTTTAAACCAGAACACGATGCATATTTGACCAGCAGTAGTAGCACGTGTCATTGTAGAGGACGGAGAGAAGAGGATCATGGGACTTGCAGTCTTTGGAGGGTGATGAATGATTGTTGTTATCATGGCAAATTGTCCTGAAAGCCATAGAAGACATTGCCACTGTGATAAAAGAACAGCTTATTGATCTTTGAGAAGCATTGTAGTGTATATATCACACAGTGAGGGAGAGAGTAAGAGAATGTGGGATATTGAGCGCCGCATTCACACACTTATTTGAATGAGGGGCATGCAAGGTGCTGCGTTGGCCAGTCACGAACATTCACACACCCTGGTGGATAACTTTGTTATCCCGTTTCTCCCTTTTATCTCAAAGTTACCACTGAAACATGACACAGACGCTGCCGTGAGAACTTTCCAGAGTACTTAAATCCGGTCTGAGTATTACACAGAGGTGGGGAGTAAGCCACACATGTGCAAGTCACAAGTAAGTCTCAAGTCTTAACCTTCAAGTCTCAAGCAAGTCCAAAATTAGTGTGGTGAGAGTCAAGCAAGTCACAAATCAAGTCATACAAGACAAGATGATCTGATAATATTATTGGTATATCATGTATTTACAGTAAGTGAAACATTCAGACCTCCTCTGACTATTAATTGTGCACGGGTAGGCTATAAAGTAACCCTAAGCTATTAAATGAAAAAGACGTGCCTTTCATGGCTATTAGAAACTGTTCTCTTTGCGTAATCAACCCAAAGTCTAACAGCTTCAACTCAACATTAGCTTTCCAGCTAACGTTTGAGCAGCCAATAAGTTAGCTAACGCTAGCTGCTGATCTGCCTTGTTTTGGTTGTCTGCACTAAAATCACCAAATTATCTTTCAAAACCAAAATGTAACGTTATGTTAATCAAGTCCTCAAATTTGCGATGACTTGAGTCAAGTCATGTGACATCTGGTATTATGAACTACTGTTCTGGGTTGGTTTCTAATAAACTTACATTTATAAACACATAAATCTGTTCCTCCACCCATTTCTATCGTACAGTATGTGAGCTGAGCAGGAATCAGCCATACTCAGCCAAGGAGAGGAAGCAGAGACAGAGATGAGGAGATAGGCCCGGAAAGAGAGGAAGAGTTAGATCAGGAGTTACGGCAAATGAGAAACTGATGTAGAGATAAAAAAAGAAAAAGTGTTACTTACTGTAGGAGCAGATTATGTTACTGCAAAGACAAGTCATACACTGTATTACAGTATGTTTTTACTATGTAAGATCTCATTGATGAAATTCTATCTAGAGGACGGCAACATACAATTATTTTAATTATCACTTAATCGGTCAGTTGTTCTAATTATTAATTGTTCAGGCTATAAAATCTCAGAAATGCAAAATGCTCATGACAGCGGCGTCCTGCTGGTTGAGTGGTGCAGACACACACACACACACACACGGCTGCAGTGGTCTCAGTTCGATTCCAGTCAGGAAACATTGTTGCATGTCATCACCCCCTATATGTCATGCAGTAGGTCTGTGCAAAAAGGAGGGTTTGGTATATATGCTGATGAACTGATTGTTGCGGTAAAATGTTACAGACCAAAAATTTGTTAAAAAAAAGTATTTACATTTGGTGTGTTGTCATGCTTCCTGTTTCTACCTGAACTCCTCATGATAAACATTTGGCCTGCAACAAGAGACACATACACTAACACAGAGTAGTGATACACCAACTCCACAAACACACACAGGAAGGAGGTTAGATTGATCCAGGTTTAGCTCTCAAGGCTAAGAGTTATTGAAGAGAATCATCCCTCTGTAATCATGTTAGAGCCAACCAGACCTGCCCAGTACACACTGCTCTGAGCGTGTGTGTGTGTGTGAGTGCATACATGTGAGGCAGAGCGAGCTTTCATTTGTTTTGTCTCCTCCTTTTCCTTGTTGTTGTCAAGGACCTCTGAGAAATGTCAATGTGCCCTTCTGTCAAAGTCAGTCTCAATCAGTGAAAACACAGAAGGTTACGCTGTCATTCACACAGCCATTGATAAAGCAGATGGAGCTTTGGAGCCCCTCTTGTCACTGTTCATCTCTGCAGCCATCTCTGACACACTCGTTTGTTTCTCTACCTCGTCCTCCATCTTCTTATCTCCATCACTCCTCTCTTTTTCCTCTCTTCATCTCCTTCGACATCCTTACTCCTCTTTCCTTATCTTTATTCTCTCTCTCTCTCTCTCTACCTCCCTCAGTCCGCCTCTGCCAAGCATCTGTTCTTTATGATTATCAGCTATTAGTAGCTGCTTTAACACTCAGATTCCATTCTGTCGTTTAGTATTTTAGCTGCAATACGTTACACGCACAGATTTATAGCTACAGCAGGCTGATCGGTCTGGGTCTGAACGAGACTTGGGCTTATACGGCTGAATCTCTCCATCGTATCCTGACACATAGTGACTTCTCAGAGCAACCTGGGGGAAGCAACAGTGTTGGCTGTGTGTGATGCCTGAGCTCATTTACATATACTTGAATATTAGTAAATCCTGGAATTCACAATGAAGAGCAAAGACTGTACATGTTTTCAGAGGGTTATTGGTTTAAATAATTTATTTATAGAAAAACTTTGGTAGACTATGTTTTTCCACAGAGTGTTTTCTATAAATTTAAACATCTCTGCGGAAGATCTTTAAATTTACAATCCAGAGTTAAAGCTGACAAGTAGAAGCCAAACACAGACATGTGGGAGAGAGGGTGACCAGAGACCAGAGTACAGTACAGTTAAAGCTACATGTATTCTTACACAGGTTACACTTAGTTGCTCTTGAGTTAGGTTTGAACCCAGGACCTGGGGTCAAATGCCACAGTGCCACTGATTTGCTTCAGTCCTGTATGCGACTGCGTGTCTGGTTTTGGCCTCGGCCTCTCAACAGGTCCAGATTTGGATGCGTTTGTGCTGGCGTCTGCTTCTTTGTCGAGTTGCTGAAGCCACAGCCAAATGGACTCTTTGCTCCCCCCCAATCCAACTCATCATCTTGTCTTTGTGTATGTGTGTGAGTGTGGTTGCTGGGGTGAGGGCAGGGGTGGGTCGGCACTTCTCCTTAAGCAAGCCTGTGTGTGTGTGAGTGTGTGTGTGTGTGTGTGGGTGTGTGTGTGTGTGTGGGTGT